TGTGAAGATTCATAGTATGATCAAGGAAATTGGAATAGACACCCAGTTGTATGAAAGTGAACTAGATAAATTAGAGAATAGGGCATTTTTGGAATGGTGAATGAGCACTGCCTTACCCATATGTTAGGGAGACAAACTCAGCAGTATTTTATTTTATCTATTTATTTAATATTTATTTATTTATTTATTTATTTATTTTTTACATCTAACTTGTGAGGTTTTCCCATATTTGACTACTCTGTTTCACCTTTTGTGTGGAGAGCATGAGGAGATGTCACATTTGTGTGTGTGTGTGTAAGGAAAGAAGCCCATTTTGGCCTACCATACTTTATCACTTACAGAAGTTCCATAACAGAAATAAATTATCTGATTATTTAGTTGTTGATATTATTTTATGTAAATTCTGTACAGTGGTCCCTCGGTTAACGAACACAATTAGTTCCAGAAGGTTTGATAACCAAAAATTTCGTTAACCAAATCCATTGTTTCAATGGGATATTGGGTAATTGGTTCCAGCTCACCGAAAAGTACATACAAAGTAAAAAAAAATGCAGTAAAGTACACTTACTTTGCGGTGTGTATGTAGAAGGTTCCTGGTTGATGATGATGATGGGAATTAGAAGTAGGGGTGGAGGAGAAGGGAGAAGAGAAGGAAGTGGGGATGGAGGAGAAATCACCTTTCAGTGGACCCATGCTTGATGCCTCATTTCACCAATAAAATTTTAATTTCACTTGGTGTAATTCAATATTATTTTCTTTAAATCAACACTGCACTGCACTATATATTATCAATATGTTAACTAAAGTTCAGAATGACCAATAATTTCAATGAAAAATGCAAAAATATTCAAGACACCAACAAAATAGATGTTCACTCCACTGTTTTCAAAGCCCAACTGATGCCTTGTGGCTGAGTCAAGCTGCTGATGGGCGCACAAAAAACTAGTTCCCTGTATTGCATATATTATCAATATGTTAAATAAATGTTAAAATGACTAATAATTTTAATATAGAAAATGCAAAAATATTAAAGAGCACAACTTTATTGATATTTACTCCACTGGAAACGAATGTAAACATAGAACAGATTACTGAATTGGCAGACTAGCCCATCATCTGATCAGCTGATGCTCACAACAAAACTTGATGTTCGTAAGGACTTCGTTAATTGAATTTTTTTTCACTAACCGAATTGAAGATTCTTATGGAAGGTTAACCGAGGGACCACTGTGTCGTGTATTGTTGCCTGAATCTTATAATATAAATAAATTGATCTTTCCTTGCATGTTTAGTTAGGTATACCTGCATGTTTAACTTTTCCACCAGTTTATATTGCACCTTTCATTTGTTTACTGAATTGTGTTATCCCACATTAAATTATTTTCTTGTAATAAAAGATACATTCATGTGAGATTACTCGGAATATTCTAATTTAGTTTTTATTATAAATAATTACTTAAGGATTATAAACATCGTTGTCATAAAAATCCCTTTATTATGTTTGATCATCATTAAGTGAAAGTGTTTATTAATACAGTATAGTCTGCATTTACGCGGTCAATTGAACCCGTGGAGGTCCGCGTAAAACCACAAACGCGTTAATGAAATAACAGAGCATATGGGATTAATTGAAATAGAGACTGGGCCGACCCCCAAACTCTACTTTTTCCGACAATACGTACCTTGTAGTCAAAATAACATCTTAATTTTATGATGGTATGCACACACAATTAATAATTAAGAGAATTATCAATAATATTAGGTTTTTTAACATTTACGTTAGTAGAAAAGATGGCTGGGCACACGGGGATGGGGGGTTGGTTCCGAGGCAGAGGGCAGATTATTGGCCCTCACCTGTATCACTTGTATCAATTGTATCTCTATCCACCACAGAGGCTTGCAGGGCCTCTTTGTCAGACCCCTCAAAGTCCATATCCTCACTATCACTGACTTGGGCCGGCTGTGGTGGGTGGCGGGTGAAGAACTCGGTAATGTTTTGATGACTGGGCGACCTTGTGCTTACCCTGCCCGCGCCGCTTCCCGCTTGAATGACCAAATTTAAAGCGTAATTAAGACATTTCTTTCTGGCAAGGCACCGCGTAAATGACCAAACGCGTTAACAAAAACCGCGTAAATCCAGACTATATCGAATGCTTGATTATTATTTGTTAATTTATGGTAGCATTGTAGCTGTCTCATTGCCTTCCCATAGTACAAGTAGCTCTGCAGGCAAGGGGACAGTAACCTTACCATCTTTATTTTTGATACCACACAGAAATAAGAGCAAATAGAGTGTGTGTGTGTGCGCGTGCGTGCGCGTGTGCGTGCGTGTTTTGTGTGTGTGTGTGTGTGTCAAAATAAAACAATGCTTTATGTAAAATGAACCTGGATATCTGGGCCCAGTGTGTTGAAATTAGTTTGTTTATTTCCACGGAGAGTTCATGACTTACAACTATTGCCAGTGGCAACAAGCCAACAAGAGCCTTATGGCATCTATGTATGCACAGATGGTGGTCTTCTGTTGGCAAGCTGTAATTGGCAATATTTACAAGCCATGAAGTCTCCGTGGAAATATATAAAATAATTTTCACATACTAGGGCTGGTAAAATTATGTAGAGTTGCTTCATGTACAGTAATATGTCCCCAAGTAAATCATTCCAAGCTCCCCAAGACCTCATAGCCTCATAAAGTAGAGGAAAGAAAGAAAATATTACTGTAGGTGGACTGAGATATGTTTAAGGAGATAATCATATCAGAGGCAAAGATGTGGATGTGCGAGGGAATCATTGAGCTGTTGGGTGTGAGTGATGGACTCGGATACAAGAAGAAACATGACACAAATGATATGTTTGAGAGAACGACATGAGATGGAAAAAATGCAGACAATATTACAGTATACTGTATAGAGAAATAAGGAGATCTGGAAGAAAGAGAAGCGTCAGACAAAATGCTTATCAGGGTTTGTGTAGTTAGTCCGGGTATATTGAGAGAATTAAAAGTAAGATATTACAGGTAGTTAAAAAAAGTGTATGGCAAGAGGGCAGAGGGAAGACCCTTTAGAAATGAAGAGAAGGAAATTGAGGAAGGTGTTGTGTGCATAAATGGGAGGAGAGCCTGGCATCTGGTGGTCCAGGTTGTGTGAAGCAGCAGTACAGTAGTAGAATACATCTGTCAGAGTAAACAGTTGTGAAGGAGTTCATAATACAAGTATTTACCAAATTCCATGTGTCTATCCTTCTCTCTTTGTTCATACACTTGACCCTCGCTTTATGCTATGGTTGCCTTCTGTGACAACACAGCATTTTGGGTTCGATTCCCGGGCTGGTGGAAGTTGTTTGGACACACTTCCTAGCCCCCATTAGTCCCTGTTCACCTAGCAGTAAAGTAGGTACCTGTTGTAAGTCGAAAGTTGCGAATTCGTATTCAGGGACAAGTTGTTGGAGCTTCCAATAACTTGATGACACAAACCATTGACTCTTCAGGCTTCTACGCCCTTAACTCATGAGACATAAAGGCAAGCATGAACTTAGCATGCTTCCCTGTTGGGTACTGTAAACGCTTCTGCGCTTCACCTTACACAAGGATGTAGGGGAGTGCCCAATAAATAAAAAAATAAAAAAAACAGCATAATGGGAATCCGCATATAATGAATACTTAATCTTAGGGGGAAAATTATTGGATATATTCCACATCTATTAAAAGTCAACAGTAATTCTATAAAAGTTGTGTAAAAATCATTACAATACTCTAATGTGGGTTAAAAATAAATATAATATAATATAAAACTGTAAACTAAAAACACAGAGCATGGGTGTTTGTGTGGAAAGTGAGAGTGTGGCATGGCTGACTTACCACTCCAGCTTTGTCCTGTGTCGTCACATACAGTGTAGCAGACATGGGCAGATTACTAATGGGGCTGATGGGGCCCAGGCCCACTAGAAAAATAGTCCCACAAAGTTTGTGAAAAAAATATAAGCCCTTTCTCTAAAAGGTCTCTTAGACGGGTAGAAAATAGCCAGTTCGGTTGCCACAGACGGTAAAAATATCCTAGCGGGCGAGTTAAAATATTAGAGAGCTTTTCCGGCTGGCGATCATTATTTTAGATTATATTTTGCGCCGCTGAAGTTCAAATTTACCGCCCTGGGCAAGAGAATATTCCCGCCTTGGGGTTGTCAAATAGAAGAAGACTTCTCGAGCTGTGATTGGCTTCTGATGACATGAGTCTGATGCTATTCGCCAAAGTATGAAGGTTTGGAGCTTCCCAGTCGTGGGAGACGGGAGTTTGTTTGTGGTCTTTCAGCTAAGAGTGAGTGTCTGATTTTTGAGTGATAAAATACTTTTCATTTGTAATTCCCCTTAAAATGGCTGGCAAGCTTAAAAGTGAGAGTTTTGTGGTGTTGAGAAGAAAGAGAGACACCCGTTTTTAGATTTTCTATGTATTATTTTCGCATTTTCGACTTATGACCTGGAATTGGGTCCCTAACCCCATCGTAAGTCGAGGACTGCCTGTACTCTAGCCTATACAAATAGTCTGAGATAAGCCCTCTGGACTTAATTAACCCCAGGCCCACGATGCCCTTAATCCAGCCCTGAGAAGACACACACACACACACACACTGTGCCTCGTTTCACAACCATTTTTGGAGCATTAATGCTATTAACGTTGCAAAATCACTAAAATACTCTAATGTGGCTTAGAAATAAAGATAATATAATAAAAACTAGTGCGCCATATCTTCTACAGAACGAAAAATAGGGAATTTTTTCTGCATAAAATGAATTATGGGTAGAAATAGGGTCGCTGCATAGACGTGAATTGGCATATAGTGATTCCACATAAAATAAGGGTCCAGTGTACATGCAAATAAAGTAAATTAAGCCATAAAAAATCTGATGTCACTTTTATATCATTGTAACCTTTTTTGGTTATTAAATTTTCTAGACCAAAGATAAACTGTGAATATTAATTTTCAACAATTCATTTCCTACTTCATAACAGTTGAAGAAAGTGGTGAAAATTCAAAGGTGTATCGCAAGTCCATCAGCAGTGATGGAGCACAGCACTCAGACCTGCCCCACTGTCGCTCAGTCTCAGATTCTGACTACCATTATGCCAGGCATCTGTCTGCTCCTTTTCCTCGCCGTAGATCTTCATCTTCCAGGTGAGGAAGATTTTTCTGGCTGATGATGTTTCCTTCATTTAGTTCTTTAATATTTTGTTAAATGTATACAGGTGGTATCCCAGTGATCATCATACATTATTGTTAAGACAATACTATGAAATATCAGCCTTGCCGAGAAGGTTGATTTTGTCTTAATAGAGTGAATACATTTTTTTCTTGTTATATATATATATATATATATATATACACATATATATATACATATATATATATATATATATATATATATATATATATATATATATATATATATATATATATATATATATATATATATATATATATATATATATATGCAGGTAAATCACTGTAGTGGCGTGATCTAGGTATATGCTGATAACCACAAGGAAAGAAGAAAACATGAAGTTCCCAAGCTTTCGTGTAATTCACATCTTCAGGGGTGAGTGAAACTCGTGTTTCTTCTTTCCTCATTATATATATATATATATATATATATATATATATATATATATATATATATATATATATATATATATATATATATATATATATATATATATATATATATATATATATATATATATATATATATATATATATATATATATATATATATATATATATATATATATATATATATATATATATATATATATATATATATATATATATATATATATATATATTTATAATTGGAAGGCATGTTCATAATCTCATCAACTGATCACAACTATGACCATTCTGCATCAGCTAGCCATTACAACTCCTTCCATTTTTACCAATCTTATAATATTAAAACAATAGACATTTAATAACTGTAAGAATGTAAGAGAAATTACTGGGGTCACAAGTCATGGTATTGAACGGTTTATTGAAAAGCTTATGACTTTATTTATAACTCACTGCTGATAGTCAACTATTGCTTCTTTACCAGACTCAAGTTGTATAACAATGTCCAATTTTACCTCTCTCTCTTTCTCCCTTGGAGAAAAGAAGAGAGAATCTGTGGACCATTGTCTCCCACAGTCTCTTTCTCTGAAGAAAATTTAGCTAAGCTTTTGTGTTGTTCACATAGCAGTAAACACAGCAACTTAACTCTCCCCCTTATGAGAAAGGAGGGGGTCAGCAGTGATCTTTGCAGCTTCGATAAGGGATACATGTCATCTTAGCACCTGCCCATTTACTTCCTTCTGAAGTACATATTTTTGTAACCCAATACCATGGATTTACTTTGCATATTTACATTAAAGTGCTTGCTTGCTATTTGTAATAGGATGCTGTTTATATACATATGCTTTCATGATCTCACTCCTTATATAAGATTTAGGAATTAGAAAGTTAAGAATGCAATACTGTACATTTTAGAAGAGCATCATGAAGTATAATTCTTGTACTCCTAGTCCGCAGCGCACGCCTTCACCTTCAAGACACAATACAAGAGAGGTGTAAGTGTATGCAGCAGTAAGCAGTTATAAAGTTGTTAGGTTATTGCTTGCTTAAAATATACTGTTTGGGTTTCCAGAAGTCTCATAATTTGATTCCCATCAGATTAACTTGGTGATTTTCCTGCTTTTGGTAAAAGTACTCTCATAACAGTATTTTACTGATAGTTTTAGAATATAGTTTTATAATACCCAGTAGTAATAATGCTTGTGGGTTATTGAGAGTATTGTGGACTTACCTCATAATCCTTCTTTCCCTCTACTCTGATTAGTTAAGTTTTCTTGTAAACATCACCACAACAGAAAACTTATACAGTACAAAACTAAATAAACAGACTGACTATGTCAGGTTTTACAACTTACTTATAGTAGCTCCATCTGTATAGTACTTATAAATGTTCTTCCTTTAAGGGAACCTCTGCTGCCTCATCCCTGATATTTGCAAACATCTCATTTGCTTGGTGAATGAAGTCCTCATTTTAGCATGGCCTTATCCCACTGATGAAAAATCCCATTAAGTTTGTTAAGCCTCTTCATGGTTCATTATGGGAATCCTAGCCACATTAATAATGGTGTAAAAGAATTTCCTCATTATTTATGAAATTCATTTCTTATGTCTTTGTGGTTTATGAAGGTAAAAGAGATGGCTTGTAAAGTTTTGGATCAGTATATTTTTGTCATTGAGATGATACTGTACTGTACTGTAATTGATGATCAGAATAATACAAAACAATGGAAATAGAACATGGGGGGTCCCCGGGTTACGAACGAGTTCCATTCCTGAGGACGTTCTTAAGCCAGATTTGTACGTAAGTCGGAACACATGCTATGTGCACACTGTACCTACAGAACAATATTTAAAATCCCACTTTATCATAGCTTAAGTCCTTATATACATCTAAAATCACTTAATTTAAGACAAAAGAAGAAATAGAGCGACAAAACGCAATAAATGAAAGTAAAAAATAAGCCATCAGGTAAATAAAATACTGTAAATTTTAAGTTTAACCCTGTACATATTGGCGGGTATTCGTAAGTTAGATGTTTGTAAGTCAGGGACCACCTGTACTCTACTGTACTGTACTTGCTGGTTAAAAATTTTCAGATTAATTCAGATTCTAGTGAATAAAGTTTAAAGATATTCCTTCAGTAAAATAAATACTAAAGAATTTGTTAATTATATTTTTCTCAAAAGTATTCAGGGTAATTATTACCTATTTAATATTTTTATGGCTCAAAACTTAAGTAAGTAAAATAATGTTATGAAGAAGAATAGCAACAGATTACTGGCAATAAAAAGGTAAATAGACTCCATAACACCTGCCATAGTTAATATTACTGCAGTGATATCTTCATTAGCCGGAACAATTGGTGCAGAGCACTTCTGGGAATGAGAGATTTTCGGGTAACAAGATGACTCTCAAAACCAGAAAAAATCCTTCATCCCTGGAATTTTCCAGGTAACGGAAAAATTTTCTCGGAAGTTCTAGAATGATGCATTATTTCATCTCTCAAAGCCGGAAAAAGTCCCTCATCCCAGGAATTTTCTGGGTATTGGGAAAATTTCTCAAAATTTTTCCGAGAAAGTGCCCCTTGAAAATCGTTCTCAAAGGCAGTATTTTCTGGAAAATTCCGACTGGGATTAATTTTCTGAGATATTTTAAATTCCGGCTATCGTAGAGTTCTGGGTTTGATAGATTCTGGTTTACGGAGATATTACATACATGTGTATTTTAAAGTTACTGTGCCATTCCTATTTTTTTATTATTATAAAGAGTGTGTACTGAACAGTAATATATTACTGTACTGTATTGTATAAAAAAAATAAATAAAATCATCAAATAGGTCAGGCTGTCATATAATGGAAACTGTATTGTTAAAAAATAATCTCTCTTTACAGTGATCATACTCATAGCAAATTGGACTTTGAAGTGTCAGATTTCTTTATGTTTGGATGTCCACTGGCTCTGGTGCTGGTCTATAGGAAAATGATTAATACTTCTGATAAAAACTGTAAGTAACTAGTGTACTATTTTCTTATTATTTTTGGCTGGGGTTTAGCTGAATTTCCATAATTTTAATAGAATATGACTTTGGTGCATTATTTAGGTTCATAAGAAGTGTGCTTGTAATTTTCATAACTTGATCATTTGTGAACCCAAAAGGGGATCTGCATAATAAAGTAGGAAAAGTTTAAAAATAAGTGTTGTCCTTTATAAAGAATGATCCTACAATTATTTCTCTAGATTTACCACAGACATAACCCATGCAGTATACAGTCAACCCTCGCTTTACGCGGTCCCACTTTATGCGTTTCCACGTTCACGCGGTACCCTGCCGAACACGGAATGCTCACTTTCCGCGGTGTGTGTACCCTTTTACGCGGAGAGCAGCGCGAGCAGGGTGCGCACAAGGTCGCCCAGTCATCAAAACATTACCGAGTTCTTCACCCGCCACCCACCACAGCCGGCCCAAGTCATTGATAGTGATAATGATAGTGAGGATATGGACTTTGAGGGGTTTGACAAAGAGGCCCAGCAAGCCTCTGTGGTGGATAGTGATACAATTGATACAAGTGATACAGGTGAGGGCCAATAATCTGCCCTCTGCCTCGGAACCAACCCCCCATCCCCGTGTGCCCAGCCATCTTTTCTACTAATGTAAGTGTTAAAAAACCTAATATTATTGATATTTCTCTTAATTATTAATTGTGTGTGCATACCATCATAAAATTAAGAAGTTATTTTTACTACAACATAGGTATTGTGTCTGAAAAAGTGGAGTTTGGGGGGTCGGCCCGGTCTCTATTTCAATTAATCCCATATGTTATGTTGTTCACTTTACGAGTTTCTCACTTTACGCGGGCCGCCGTGGGTTCAATTGACCGCGTAAAGTGAGGGTTCACTGTAACTCCAAGTCAAAAGATTTATTAATGAATTGGCACAACACTGTCAATATATCCATACACAAGAAACATACTCCAACTTATTTGATGTTGATTGCAGGTACAATACAACGACCGGCGTGTCAACAGGTGTATAACCTTTTCCACCCAACTGATCCTCTGGCTGTTCGTGTGGAGCCTCTGCTGTCTGCCAGGTTCTCACTTCTCACTCCAGTTACAATACCTCGCTACACCAAGTACCCATTAGGAGATGGCATTCCTACTCATTTGTGTAAGTCATCAGATGTCTCATTTTGGGCTTTAATGTGTGTCCAAAAGTAAGTTTTTCATATATAATGGGTTGATTGTGAGTACAGGTACCTGAACATTCTTCATATTGCTAGAAATTCCTGTATTGAAGTAAATGAATCTTTTGAGGGTGAACCTTGAATTTTATCATTAAGAGTCCAAAAATGATGTACTTAAGATTACACCATTCTGAAAAAGTAAATATGAAGAATCTGTCATGAATCGTGCCTTTTTACAGTTGAATATTAATGCCAAAACCATTAAAAGAAGTGCTGTGTAACAAGAATGGAATTAAGGTTGATGGATGTTAAACTCTTCCTAAAAACTTATATCTATTATTGAGATTTTTCCTTCTCTTCACTTGCAAGGCTTCTGCTATAGCACAGGATGGCCAGAGTTGAGAACAATGTAGTCTCCCTCATTCATCTTTTGTGTCTGCCTTACCATAAGTGTGTTGCTGTGGTGTTCCCCTTCCACAACAAGGACCAAAAATTACCTTGTATATCACCACCCAGCTTTGTGTCACTTACTCCCCCCAAAACGAACTGATTTCATGTTTTCCGGCCGTGGAATGAGGTATTTCACAATAGAGTATATGTCATTTGCTTACAGTGGAATGCATTCAGTCTAATGGAGGAGTGTTTATGGACATTGGTGGGACGACTGGATCCCCATCACTAGCGGGACACAACCGTCGTGTGTCGGATGCGTCAATTCTCTCCACTGTATCAGGGATGGCAGATACTGTCCCACTTGCTACAATAAATGCCTGTAAGTTAAAACTTTTTTTTTATATAATTCTATTAGACAGGAAGATTATTTTTTAAGTATGCTGTACATTTATACTGGATAGATCTATTTGTTATGTTTAACTGGTTGCCTCAGAGGTCCATTAAGGGCCTTCCTCTGAGGTTCAGTATGAATCTGCATAATTGTTTTTTTTTTTCACTTTCACAGTGAGTCAGCGGTGGTGGGGGACCAAACGACTAGATTATGCATTATATTGCCCAGAGGGTCTCGCAAATTTCAGAACAAACTCTTTGCCACATCTCTTCCACGCTTCTTATTGGGAGTCATCAGATGTCATTGCCTTTATACTTAGACAGGTGAGGCAAATATTTGAGTGGATAATACCATTGATTTATTTCAGGTTATTGTTATCTCCTGTGTATGTTTCCATATACAGCACTGCACTTTATTGATTAATGTTATATCATCCTAGATAAAACATCTTAATAGAGCTTTGTAAATTCACACCCTCTTGAGAGTGACAATGTGGCTAATTTCAGAATGTGAGTTATTGAAGAACTTATATACTGTACTGTATATAGTACAGAGACCAAAAACACAGACTACCACACACACACGCACACATAAATGCCTCATGAAGTCATCAAGGTCCACACAATAAAAAATATTTACCAGTCTGTACAATTTTGTTTCACTCTTTGCTGGTCTGTGAAGTTGAAAAATTTGGGAACCACTGCTCTAAGATGAATGAAATTACCTGGCAACAATCAGAATAAAATAACCATATGCGACATTACTCTTTTGAGTGCTAATCAAGATAGGTTTTAACCTATTGAGAAGCAGGGGTTTTTCTCAACTGTTTAAAATTATCAGGCTTTAAGGAGAACGTCTGGATAAAATCGGAAAATTGCAAAAATATTTAGGAAAATTCCTGAGAAAAGCTGTTGCCGTTGCTATATGCTGACTTATTTTTATTGCGTAATTCGTAATATTTCTGCAGCTATGCATTATTGTTCTACCCCCCTTCATTTAGTGGGCCCTTCTGTTTACATAGAAAAGCTGTATAAAAGTATTTATAATAATATTTTGGTGTAAAGTAATTCCAATCACTTGTAAAAATAAGTATCTGGCACCTTTCTCAGCAAGCTAACCACAGGAGACCATCATCACAAGTCAGTGATCCATCAAACATGCGAAAGTGAGGTACGATTGTGAGTTGCTCTCATGCCACCTTTATATGCTCGTACAGGTTGTACCTCTCTAGTCCGGCAACCTCGGGACCTGACTGGTGCCGGACCATGGAAATTACCGGACCATGGAAATTCACCCTTTTCCTGGATAGATAGTGACTTGTGCTTATGCCTGGAAGCACTAGCACCACTTTCTCTGCATCATGGTCTCTGTGAAGACATATTGAAGGGTTAAATGTCGTATAGTAGCTTCTCAAATTTCGCGAGTTTTTAATTCTTAACATATTTTATTGGAACACACAAAAAAATAAATAAATAAAAATTTTGATGGCGGAAACTTGAATTTCAACGGGTTTGAACGGCCCGCCAACGTGCAGACGACGTGCATAATCGTGTAAACACGTCATTTCTCTTATGTACAAAAGATTCATTATTGTTTATTACTGAATGTCTTTTTTATTTAATTAATGTTTATGTGTGCAAAATGAGCAATACAATTCATTAATAATACGTAGAATATTAAAACACACGAGGAAATGACACAGCATTGTATTCGTTGATTACAAAACCAGTGACTGACTGGTTCTACATATAAAACTGAAGAAAATAAAACCTTGGTTGTAGCTGTAGTAAAATTAATATGGTTGTTTTAAGTAATGTTATTTAATGTTAATAAATGGAACAATAGAAGTAGCTAACGATAATGGTAAAGAAAAAGAGAGATCGCATATGTAAGTGCGCATGCGCACACGTGAAAACATATCATCATTACTTTACATAAGAATATGAAAGCAACACTTATTTACTGTTCATATATATTTTAATTAATGTTTCTGAATTTGTTTTTATTGAATTAATGTACGTGTGTGCAAAATTAACAATACAATTTATTAATAATACGTGGAATATTAGAGGAGACGAGACGGCTGCCGGCATTGTTTATGTTAAAGCTTACGAAACCAGTGACTGATTGGTTCTACATATAAAACTGAAGAAAATAAGACCCTGAGTTTAGCTGTAGTAAAATTAATGTAAAACAATGAATATGGTTGCTTGAAGTACCTGTAATGTTATTTAATGTTAATAAATAGAACAATATAAGTAGCTAACCATTAATGGTAAAAATAAAAGTGAGACTGCTCGTATGTAAGTGCGCACATGTGAAAATATATCGTCATTACTCTACATAAGAATATGAAAGCAACACTTATTTACTGCTCATATATATTGAAGGGTTAAATGTTGTACTCTGTATAGACAAGCAAAAAGAGAGAGAGATAGCAGCCGAACTGCCGGATGTAAACAAACCTTAATTTCCCGCAGCTTTTTTTTTAAGGGGATTAGCCCACCCGGGAATAGGTCACTGACCCACATTAGGGCCTGGGGGGCAAAAATTTAATACTCCTGTAATAATAATAATAATTCAGATAAGTAAAAAAAAAAAAAAAAAAAAAAAAAAAAAAAAAAAAAAAAAAAAAAAAAAAAGCTGCTGCCTTTTTACCTATTGGACAAACTAAAATCGTTCCGGACCACGGGAGTTTCTGGACCACAGAATGCTGGACTAGAGAGGTACAACCTGTATCTCAGAACGAGTTTTTCTAACCTTCAAATCCCTAAGGCTCAGCTATTTCTGGACTGATTCTAATAAAACAAAAACTAAGTAGTAGAATAACATACTGTGCATGGCATAACCTATAAATTTTCTTTATATTTGGTTTGGTTTATTAGTTGCTGGTTTATCTTTATAAATATTCGGAGGAATAAATGGTAAATTAGGAAAAAATTCATGCACCCAATACGGAAGCAATAACAAAAAATATCTATATGTTACTTTGAGGAAGAGTAAATTACTTATTTTCCACATGAATTTCAACATAATTTAGCAAGAAGTTTTGGAGAAGTAGGGTTTTGAAACTTGATAAGAATATACAGTCAACCCTCGCTTTACCCGTTTCCACATTTATGCCGTACCCTGCCGAAACCGGAATGCTCACTTTCCGCGGTGTGTGTACCCTTTTACGCGGAGAGCGGCACGAGCAGGGTGCGCACAAGGTCGCCCAGTCATCAAAACATTACCGAGTTCTTCACCTGCCACCAACCACAGCCGGCCCAAGTCAGTGATAGTGATAATGATAGTGAGGATATGGACTTGTATGGACTTTGAGGGGTTTGACAAAGAGGCCCAGCAAGCCTCTGTGGTGGATAGTGATACAATTGATACCAGTGATACAGGTGAGGGCCAATAATCTGCCCTCTGCCTCGGAACCAACCCCCCATCCCCGTGTGCCCAGCCATCTTTTCTACTAATGTAAGTGTTAAAAAACCTAATATTATTGATATTTCTCTTAATTATTAATTGTGTGTGCATACCATCATAAAATTAAGAAGTTATTTTTACTACAACGTAGGTATTGTGTCTGAAAAAGTGGAGTTTGGGGGTCGGCCCGGTCTCTATTTCCATTAATCCCATATGTTATGTTGTTCACTTTACGCGGGCCGCCGTGGGTTGAATTAACCGCGTAAAGTGAGGGTTCACTGAAAGGGAAAAACCAGATATCAGGGATTAGGCAGAACTGATTAAGGGGTATAGTAACAATGTATCAGGTGTCCTTAATTGCTGACAGAAAAGTGATATTGATTGATCAATTATTAATGAATTTCTTGCTTCTGCCGGACGCTCTCCTTAACCAGAATAAAATGTTTAAGTGCAACATTACTTTTTACGGGGTCACTTTATATTTTTCAACTCGTAAAACTGTCTTTTAACCAGGGCAAGAAACCAGTTCTGTTAAATTGATTTATATGTATGATTTAATGTCTTAAACAGATGGTTTATTAAAGTTTCTTCAACAGATAGTACGAACAGATCACTCAGCTCTTGCAGCAGATGACAAGGACCTGCCAGTGTTCTCTCCTTTACAGCCACGGGAAAAGTGGATTAAGAAAAGGACTTCTGTCAAAATCAAGGCAAGTTAGAGTTCAGGTATTCAAGGTCTATAACATTATACTCTTTTATATTCTATTTGAGTAAGTGTAAGGTGCTTGTAACATTTTACTTGTTTTTGAGTTACCGGTAATTCTCTTCACCAAGCATCACACAATGAGATCGCTCTGACAGATAAAACTCAAGCGGTGAGAATACTTTTCACGGGCACCAGAGGACCAAAGTTCATGAAGCAACAGATGATGATCCACCGCATCAATGGGTGCAGAAAAAATCCAGCAAGACAAGAAGGAAGGATTTCCTGTGCATGTATTTACATATTACCAAATCATTATGAATTTTACATAAGTTAGTTTCAGTTGAATGATGCTTTATATTGGCTGACTGGACCAGAGGGATCACCAGATTCTATGTATATTTCTCCCAATATTTTTTATGTTTGCATATTCATTCTTCACTTCTCGTAGATAACTGCCAGATAGGGAACTCATGGCTTGTGTGACTCTTCCACTTGTTGAATTCACCTTCTACTGGGAACTTTTGCTTTTAAGGATCTGTTTTAGGGATTTGAGTGTGACAAGTGTAACTAATTCTTGACTCAGTCCCAACCACCAACTCCTGGATGTAGAAAGACCAGACCATCAGACTATTTGTGTAGGGTCATGGATCACCTAAACAAAAGATGTTGTTTTGTGAAGGAATTTTAATGCGACAATTTTGGACCAATATTTTCCTGTATTTACGGAAGCTGATATTGATAATACCCTGTGTATAATATCTTGTACATATACTTTCCAGAATGTTGCAGCGAATCACAGAGGTAACGACGTGCTGGTGCGAGAAGGAGCACCGCAATCTTTGCAAGCTCGATTTATGTATGGTCCTCTGGATATGGTAGCTTTATCTGGTAAGATTCCTAATAGGCTGGTAACCATTCCATCTGTTCAGTTAACCAAAAAGAATAAAGAATAACATAGGGTATTTAAATGTACAGTAACCCCCTCCACCAAAAATATATATATATACAGTTGTACCTCTCTAGTCCGGCAACCTCGGGACCTGACCGGTGCGGACCATGGAAATCACCCTTTTCCTGGATAGATGGTGACTTGATAATAATAATAATAATAATAATTAACAGTTTATTGAAAGAGCTTGGCAGCCAGAAGGCTGAAAATATACAGTTACATATTTGGGGAATGGGTTTCGAATTACAAATAATATACAAATAACATAAGTGATACAAATAAGATATATAATAACTAGATGGGGAAAAGCTCAAACTACAGTGCATTTCAACATAGTGACAGTGCAAGAAGTAGTATTTACTGGGAGTGAATACACTGGTTTATTACAAGTTATTGATAATTTTTACAATGGTTGGGACTGGGCTGTTCTTATAGCGATCAGTTCGTGCACGTATGGGCTGGATGCGGTTGTGGTGTCGGACAGCAATTCTCGGGCTAGGGATCTCAGGTGGTAGTAGGAGCCGGTGTCGAGGATGGTGTAGAAGCTTCTTACCGAATTTGCAGATGAGGTCGTGGTGATGGTCAGTGAGAGTCGAAAGGGTCAGTGTGTTGAGCGCTTCTTGATATGTGGAGTAGGAAGGGGAGAGAATAATCTTGCATGCCCTCTTTTGCACTTTTTCTAGGTGTTTACGTTGTGTGGCATTTAGGGAGGAAGACCAGGTAAGGGAGGCATAGGTGAGCCCAGGAAGTATGAATGTTGTGTATACACTGAGGAGCTTCGTGTGCAGGAACTCGAGGGACTTGAGTCGGCGAAGCAGGTGGAGCCGAGGCTGGAGGCTTTGACAACTTATGGTCTCTTTGAAGACATATTGAAGGGTTAAATGTCGTATAGTAGCTTCTCAAATTTCGCGAGTTTTTAATTCTTAACGTATTTTATTGGAACACACAAAAAAATAAATAAATAAAAATTTTGACGGCGGAAACTTGAATTTCGACGGGTTTGAACGGCCCGCCAACGTGCAGACGACGTGCATAATCGTGTAAACAGCGTCATTTCTCTTATGTACAAAGATTCATTATTGTTTATTACTGAATGTCTTTTTTATTGAATTAATGTTTATGTGTGCAAAATGAGCAATACAATTCATTAATAATACGTAGAATATTAAAACACACGAGGAAATGACACAGCATTGTTTTTGTTGATTACAAAGCCAGTGACTGACTGGTTCTACATATAAAACTGAAGAAAATAAGACCTTGGTTGTAGCTGTAGTAAAATTAATATGGTTGTTTAAGTAATGTTATTTAATGTTAATAAATGGAACAATAGAAGTAGCTAACGATAATGGTAAAGAAAAAAGAGAGATCGCGTATGTAAGTGCGCATGAGCACACGTGAAAACATATCGTCATTACTTTACATAAGAATATGAAAGCAACACTTATTTACTGTTCATATATATTTTAATTAATGTTTCTGAATTTGTTTTTATTGAATTAATGTTTGTGTGTGCAAAATTAACAATACAATCTATTAATAATACGTGGAATATGAAAACACACGATGAGACGAGACGGCTGCCGGCATTGTTTATGTTAAAGCTTACAAAACTAGTGACTGATTGGTTCTACATATAAAACCGAAGAAAATAAGACCCTGATTGTAGCTGTAGTAAAATTAATGTAAAAAAATTAATATGGTTGTTTGAAGTACCTGTAATGTAATTTAATGTTAATAAATGGAACAATATAAGTAGCTAACCATTAATGGTAAAAAAAAGTGAGGCTGCGCGTATGTAAGTGCGCACATGTGAAAACATATCGTCATTACTCAACATAAGAATATGAAAGCAACACTTATTTACTGCTCATATATATTGAAGGGTTAAATGTTGTACCCTGTATAGACAAGCAAAGAGAGAGAGAGAGAGAGCAGTGGAACTGCCTGATGTAAACAAACCTTAATTTCTCGCGGCTTTGTTGTTGTTGTTTTTTTATGGGGATTAGCCCACCCGGGCATAGGTCACCGACCCACATTGGGGCCTGAGGGGCAAAAATGTAAAACTCCTGTAATAATAATAATAATTCAGATAAGTAAAAAAAAAAAAAGCTGCTTCTCTACCTATTGGACAAAATAAAATCGTTCCGGACCACGGGAGTTTCCGGACCACAGAATGCTGGACTAGAGAGGTACAACCTGTACTGTGTGTATATATATATATATATATATATATATATATATATATATATATATATATATATATATATATTTTTATATATATATATATTTATATATATATATATATTTATATATATATATATATTTATATATATATATATATATATATATATATATATATATATATATATATATATATATATATATATATATAAACCATAATTTTCCCTTTCGAAAATGCTGTCGATTTTCAACCTCGAAGCTCGGAAAATTTGTTGCCCAAACCAAAATTTGGGGGAAAATTCCGGTTTTGGGAATGATTTTCCGAGCAAATTTAAGTTCTGACTATCGGAGGGTTCCGGGTTTGAGGGATTCTGGCTAACGGAGATGATACTGTAGTCATATGGTAACCCATTGTATTTTCAGGTGAAAAAGTTGACCTACACATCATGCGTGATCCCCCAGGTGGTGACTGGCAGCAGATATCTACAGAAGTAACTGATAAAAATGGTCGCATTGCCTTTGCTATCCCACCAGACAAAGCTCTCAGCTGTGGCATGTATCCAGTCAAAATGGTGGTTCGGTTAGTATCCTACCATTATCACATCTAATTAATGTATCTGTATTTATGGCCTGCAAAAATCATCATTATTATGATGTTATACAGTACTTGCCACTGGATTTTTACAAGAAGTTTTATGCATTGCACAATACCTGTAAATCCAATATTTTTGTCTATATTAAGAGTTATATGAAGAAACAATATGAAAATATTTGTTTATATTCTACAAACTATCTACAGAATATAGTTACACATATTTTATTTAATGTTATAATTACTTACCATATACAGTTAATCCTCACATACGCTGTCCCAAGATTCCGCTGTTCACCGCCGTGCCTGCCAGAACCTAACATTCTCAAACTGCCGTCGCGAACGCCATTACGAGAGTGTCCGCGACGCTATTTTATTTGCCCCACGCGCCACCCTCCCGCCCGCCTGCTCTCCCTCCTCCT